CTGAGCCAATCTCTGCTGATTCCCTAGGCTCTAAGTAGGGAGTTGGATGGGGAGAACAGCAGCCAGGACACAATTATGGATGGAGGATTAGCCGGCCGGCACTGACCCATAGCCTTCCACTTTTAGAGTCTAGTGTGAACTATGTTTTTTTTTTTTTTTTTTTAAAAAAGCCCCAGACTAGCCGACCCATCAGACTTTACCCACTGTGACCAAAGTATATGAGAGGAGATTTTCTAAACATCTTATTATACAGGCACTCTCAGCATTCTTTCACTGGCAGTTACGTTTGAGTACAATATGGGTTTGAGATGTCTGTGATCTCAGTATAGCAGAGAAAAATGTTACTTGTTTGGCAGTCACTTGTCATTTTCTCCCCAGTATGCATTCATCCATTTGTCACAATATTTTGTGGGGAGTTGTATGAGGACACTTGAGAAAAATGCTTTATTCTTGTCTTGATGATAGAAAGCATTTCTCATGGCTGGTAGCATGGTGGTAACTTCTCATTCCTTCTGGCAGTTTTTAAAGACTTATTTGACTTTGCAGGAACCTGCGGTATATCTGTAAGTCACAGTTCAAAAGTATGAGACGGTTTGCTCATTTTCAATTTTGGCTGAAAAATCTTAACTTTGACTCTGGCACTTCAAAGTTAGAGGAAACTTGGTCTTAAAAATGAATGCTGATAGGAGATGGCATTTTTAATGACAGATGTATCTATAGAAAGCTGTTAAGATGCAGATTATCCCCCCTGGGGTGGGGGAGGGAGATCAAAACTGCCAATCTATAAAATATACTCGATAGAGGAAGGCATGGAATCTATCTTTGCAAGTGCTTTGATTGCAGGGGACAGTATAGCAGCATGTGGCATCATAACCCAGAGCAGACAAATCAGCTTGATGACTTTCAAAGCCAAGAATACTGCTGCAGGCAAGGGTACTCCAGTCTAGGAGAAATTAAAACATATAGAGACTGTTATTAATTCCATATCTATTTTTGTATAGTCAAATCTGTATGCAAATCCTTAGCATCTCATTTCAGCAGATTAATCTAAAAGTGAAGAGTGTTATGTGAAGGGAATGTAATGATAAAGCTTTGCAAATGAGTAACATTGCTAAAGAAATGTGCGCTGCAAACTTGGATGCTTTTATAAAATTTGTTTTTTATACTGAGTAGAAATGGCTTTTATTTATATGCTTATTTGGAAATTATTTCAAACATGGAAAGCAATAGAACCAATTTCCAAGATTTTCCTTTGCAATCCTGTTTTGGCAAAAGTTACAGCATGGGTCTTGTTAGCCACCTCCTGTGGTTTAACATTCTAGGGATAATCAACCAAATAACTAACTAGGGGTTTTAATTTAACTCCCAAGTTGTAACCTAATATCTCATTTCTAAACATTGTTATGTGAGTAAAAAGTTGCATGAAAGAGTAAGAAATCTAATTACCAAGTGCAGATTAAGAAAAAAAAAAGTGTTACAGATGCATCTGTGGAAGTTAGTAAATAACAATTCTGAACATTAGTAATTCTGAAGAACGTGGAGATAAATTGTGTGCCCCTTGCTTGGGAGAGGGCATGTAATAGTTATACTCAAATCCATAGGTCATACATTAAATCTATAATGAACAGAGTCTGATGCAAATTTTTCAAATAGTGTTATAAAACAGTTTACTTCAGTACCTATTAATTCCATGCCATATTTCTAAAACAGGGAACAAAACTCTCGGTGTTTTCCAACAATGTGTGGGAACTTTATCCTCTGTTCCCTCTCAATTGGAGAAATGGTTATAGGTGAGCTGGATATTAGTCTGGTTATTATGGCTCAGATCAAAAGCACTGGCAATTATTTCAACTCTGAAGACCTGTGAGGTCTCAACAGATTTGATTATTCTTGTGTGGTTGTGCTGAGAAAGAATTATTGAACATTCCATTTTCAATCAGATAAGAAAGGGAAGGTTGGGAGCAAACATACCTCTGTATTTATTTTGACACACATCTTGACGCTACGTAGGCATTTCAGCTTCAACTTTCTTAAGTGTGTTTCCTTTGCCTTTGATTTCATTTTAGAAATGAGATATTCAAGGAGAAAGCCAGAGAAGACTTTCTTTGAGGTCAGAAAGCTCATTTCTCTCTGTTCTTTGTGGATTTCCTCTGCAGACAAAGCTTTCGTTGATCTTAAAAGTAGTGGTAAGCTTCAGACAGAATATAAAATAGCCCTCCAGTTAATAATAGCCATGGTCAATTACATGAAAGATAGAATCTCTTTACTGGGGTTGAGAGAGAGAGTCATGACTGGCCTGGACAGTTCCCTCCTCTTTATGTATCTATTAGTATTGATTGATTATTCCAGTTCTGTTGAGGATTAGGCACTAATCCTCAGAATTCTGGCTACTTGACTCCTGGCTGTGCAGTTGACAGTGGTGACCCAGTCAAAGCATTTGTCAAAGCAAAAAAGATGAAGAAAAATTTACCCAAGACCACTGCTGACAGGGGAGAGAAAAATTAGAATGTTATTTGAAACCTATTGAAATAATAGGTTTTTAAGGTAATATATATATATATATATCCCCTTTTTTTCTAAACACTGGGGCAAAGGAATGGGAAAGTACTGACGGACCTTTAAGGAGCAGTTGACCCGTGTATGCGTGGTGAAGGCTCAGTTATTCCTGAGGTGGCAGATTTTGGTTATATCTCTGTGGGTAAGCTGTCTGTATTTGTTAACTCATTACTCTCCAAGTTTGGCCCCTACCCTTCCATAGAAAGGTGGGTAGGATAGAGATAAGATGCCCCCTTCTTTGATGGTTACAAAATGAGGATTCCCAGTTCCCTAAGGAAGATATTCTTGGGTTGTGGAACTGACCAGAAGCTCTTAAGATGCCGTGTTTCTCAAAGAAACAGAAGAATTCACCAACATGTATTTCTGTAAAGTAAATTCTCTCAGGGAGGGCAGAGGCCTTGAGTCAAGAAGCAGCAGCTTATTTCCTTCTTCTTTTTAAAGATGTATTTATTTTTTCAATGAAAAGTCAGATTTACAGAGAGACATACAGAAAGATCTTCCATCTGCTGGTTCACTGCCTAAGTGGCCACAATAGCTAGAGTTGATCCAATCTGAAGCCAGTTGCCAGGAGCTTCTTCTGAGTCACCTATGCAGGTGCAGGGTCCCAAAACTTTGGGGTGTCCTTTACTGCTTTCCCAGGCCACAAGCAGGGAGCTGGATGGGAAGCAGAGCATCTGGGATATGAACTGGTGCCTATATGGGATCCTTGGCGTAGCAAGGGGAAGACTTTAGCTACTAGGCTATGGCACCAGGCCCCAAGAAGCAGCTTCTTTAAAATTTAGTCAAGGCGGGGGAATGTGAAAGCCATCCTGCGTAATTCTTGTAATTACGTACTTTTTAAAGTTCTGATAAGAGGCTTCTTTAGTCTCACTTAACTTTTGATATTTGCTATAAAAAATAATTACTGGGCCCAGCAGCGTGGCTTAGTGGCTAAAGTCCTCACCTTGAATGCGCCAGGATCCCATATGGGCGCCAGTTCTAATCCCGGCAGCTCCACTTCCCATCCAGTTCCCTGATTGTGGCCTGGGAAAGCAGTCGAGGAAGGCTCAAAGCTTTGGGACCCTGCACCTGCGTGGGATGCCCGGAAGAGGTTCCTGGATCCTGGCTTCAGATTGGCATAGCATCGGCTGTTGCGTTTACTTGGGGAGTGAATCATTGGATGGAAGATCTTCCTCTCTGTCTCTCCTCCTCTCTGTATATCTGACCTTCCAATAAATAAATAAATCTTTAAAAAAAGAATAATTACTACTTTTTATGATATTAAAATAAGAATATTGTTTATTTTACAGTATGTGTAAGGCAATATTTCTGAAGGTGGATTTTGTCTTTGTTCCCATATTACAGCTATCTTATTACCTAAAATTTAATATATATTGGTGTTATTTTTGCGCTGTGCTGCTGCATGTGTTGTTTTAAAGAGTTTCCATTTGGTGATACAAGTTAGGTAGAATTAATAATCTTTTAGGCATTATACAGCTTAGTGTATATACCACAAACTAGAAAGGAAGTATGAGAGAAGATAGAAACTTAACTGGAAGTGTGGTGATTTTTTTTTTCTTTAGGGGTCCTTCAATAAATAGAAGGTCTCAAGTCCATGCATTTTCCAAGAGAATTCAAAATTGCAACAGCAATTGTAGTGGAGAGCCCTAGATTTCTGCAGTCTAATAAGGAAGCCATTAAGCATGCAGGGTTTCTTGAGTCCTGGAAATACGGCTAATCTGGATTAAAATGCATTGGGTCAAACACCAACTGGATTTTGAATATTTAGTATGAATAAAACAATATATCTTAATTTTCTAATTGACCTCATTTTGAAGTAATATTTAGCCCTAGCATAGTTAGTAAGATTTGTCGATACATTTGAGTTCACTGTTTCTTTTTATCTTTAATGGGGCTACTAGAAAATTATAAATGTGTATGTGAATTACTTTTCTAGTTTTTGTTATAATCCATTGAACAACACTGGCTCTTGGTGCCTTTTAATAAATAATGACTTTTGTTAGATATGGCTGTTCTGCAAGAGATATCAAGTTATCACTATAGTTCTATATGGAGTTTAGATCTAAATATGCAGTATAGGTAAGGACAGTCATTTCCACGTAACTATATCCCTGGCTCATACAGAGTTTGTTTCCATGTGCTGTGTTCAGCCTTACTCCCTGCCTTTGTTTTGCCATTCATTCTGACCAGGCAGACCAGCTCAGCAGAATTGGGGCTATCTTGGGTTTGAATACTTTTTGTTCAGCAGGATTGCTTCTGAAATGTTTCTTGAAAATAAAACAGCTTCAACATTAAGCTTCTTAATTATATCACGGGTTTTAAAACAGGTTGTACAAACAGATCCTCAGAATGAGCTAATTTTCCTTTAATTGCATCTCATCCTTTTGTTGAATTATCCTATTTTTTATTCATGAGAATCTCTAACACATATCAATCTGTTACAGGTGGAGTGACTAACACAGCTCAGTATCAGAACAGGCTAATGGTATATGAGCCTAACCAGGTAGGAATCCTATAACAAAATCTCATTACCTGAAAATGAATTTTAAAAGGTTTCTGCAGTATTGTGCAGTATGTGGAATGTCAAGTGAACATACATGCACATGTGTGTCAGGCCTGTACAGAGAAAAGAAAGCATCTGGATAAACAGCCTTGTGATTCCTTCTATTTTTATAACCTTTCAGTTCCCAAAACTTTTTATGCTGTACAGCATGCTTCACTCTTTAGGTTTTGCATAATGTAGAAAAGATTTTGATTGTCCTGTTGCTATATTCTCTGCTATTCTCAGAAAGGAATGTGCTTATGGCACCATTGTTCTCAAATAAAATAAAATATGCCATTTAGCTTAATGAAGCTAAAATGTCCTGGAACATTTTGCCCTTCTCTAGGGTAAGTCTGAAGTAGATGAACCTGGAGAGTGACAATATATTTTTAACCTCACAGTCTGGGCTTGAATGGCAAACATTTTGGTGATGTCTTTTTTTTTTTTTTTGGACCATCTCTCATACATGCTTTTTGACTTTTATTTCTCTCAAGGAACTGTTTTCAATTCATTTTTTTCCTTCTACCAAGACATCTGTTATCTTGACCAATGTCTGTTGAATTTTACTATTTCTGTGAGTTTAGTAAAGTATTTGCACGACTATGATAATATTCCAAAAAGATTTGATCTGGGGCATCAAAATGTGAAACAACAGGTTGACTTTGGCAATCTGAGTTTGGATTGGCCACAAAATGTGTAGCTAGAGTGACCTCAGTGTATCTGGTATCTTTTTATTGTAATCATTACTTGATTCTGAATTTAACCAAGCAGTTTCTGTCTGAAAAGGTGTTTCCTGATGTCATTAGAAGGTGTGAATTTCATAGACCCAATGTTCATGGGTCAGCCATCTCCAGAGGAATCATTAATTGCAGTTGCTTGAATTTGGTGCACATGTGGTTAAAGAGGAAAAAGGTGTTAACATTTCTCAAATGATTTTTGCTTCATGTTTGTACACACATGCTCTTTTTAAAAATTCTGCTGGCATATTGTTTACATTGCGTACTGGCAAACATCACATCTGCTTGCATCTTGCTCAGAATCTCAATAACTCCATCATTCAGCCCTGGTGCTTATTTCTCTTCTATGCCTTTGTGGAGAGTCGATAATGCCTGCCATCTGCCACAGATCACACTGCTACCTGCCAACAGGCAGGGCTGGGGTGACCTCTGCTTCCCCACTACTGATTAGTATTCACACGCTAGCTTATTAGGAGTGACCTCACCAGGCCTCTCAGTTTCTTTGCCTTTGCAGCGGTTGGCGGCTCACCTGGCAGGCACTGTAGTGAAGGAAGCTAAAGATATACTCAGGGCATGCAAGCAGGCTTTGCCAACCAGATGGCATCCAGAATCTTGTGGCAGGGGAGTGGCCTGCTAATGCAAACACTGATTCCTAACACTCATGGCTTGCCTCACATACAGCACCTAAGAAAAGCATCATCAGTTTCAAGTTAAGTTCAGTCACTCATGTGTAGTGTATTAGAGATATTTCTCAACAAAATGTAAAAAAAGTCCTGGTGACTGTATTATTAAAGAAGATGTTTGATTGGGAGGAGATTTCTTTTGACATGTTCAAACAGAGGGAACAGGTGGCTGTAAGGCTTACAAACTGTGCACACCTATTTTTTTCAGGAGTATATCTTTAAAGGAGAAATTAAATATAAGGCAGTATATATGCTTATGGTGAATGGACAGATGTTTCTGCAAACATGTTTTTGTTACTTTTGGTTATTCTTTCCCTTACAGTTTTGTGAATGGGTGAAATCCTATGAATTCAAAATATTGTGTGATTGTTTTGGTTGAAATCCAAATTTTTCTTGGCAGAAAAGAAACTGGGTTCTTTCTGTGTGTTTAGTGTTCACGTCAAAAGAAAATAGATTTATTTGCCTATCTATTACTTTTCTAAAATTTATCATTAACTACTTGATTTTCATCCAATTTTGCAACATACATGGCATTTTTCAACAGCTTTATTTTAACAATAATTCAACATATGCTTCTCATTCTTAGTGGTGATATGGAATCTAATACTGAAGGTTTCACCATTTCTTGAAGTTCTCATATAGGTTTGTTGCTGAGCCAAATTCTTAACTCCTGCCACTGATCTCAAGAGGTTATTAAAGAAAGCACAAGAAAGCCTCTCTCACCCCCACCTTATCTAGGAGGCTCTGATACCTTATGATTATCGTCAAGATAAATTTTTAAATATGAGCATAGATGTTAATCAGCATTGCATCTCTAAAATGCCTCAGAGAAGCTAACTTCTGAAGAAACAGAGCTTCATTTAGCTTAGATTTGGAGGTACAAAGTCCAAGATCAGAAAACTTTATTGGCGTGACCTCTCATGCGGGCCTCCCAGCAGATGGTATCAGATCATAGCAGATCAATGCCATCTCCCAGCAGGAGTCAAATGCCCCCGTCCAGCAGGACAGTCAACGAGGGTCGCAACCAACCTAGGAGAGAATGGGGGAGAAGAGTCATAAGAAACGGACAGCAAGACAGTATGTCTGATCAAGCTGACCCAGCTTTTATTTTTTACACAGAGCTTTATAATCTGCAAAACAGGATCTATGGGTGCGGGGAAAGAGGAAACAAGCTCAGGGTATGGTTTCACAACTCTGTCTGGGTAGCTATTTCCCAGACCCCCTTATGCTCACAAGAGGATGTCAGCAGACAGGGCGTAAGTCAACATCCTGTCATGAGCACCAAGGGTGATCAGAGCAGGGTGAGTTGCTAAATGACTTGTAAACCACAGGGTATCTGAAAACTTGGTTTCTCTTGCACTTCGCTAGCTGGTGCTTTCTACTGACATTTCTCTATATTCAAAATGACTTCAATATGCCTAGATGATATGGCTCCCAACAGTCAAAGAGTGAGTGGGGCCAGACTTGCTCCTTTTAAAACAACTCTGTCTAGATCACAACCAAGTGGTTGAGAGAGAGAACCACCTCACACTCCTGGTGACCAAAGGATCTCCCACTAAGCTGTACATCTTTGGGGATCAACCACTTCTTGGGGAACAATTTCCCAATCATATGGGCTCTTGAGGAGATGCACCCACGCTGTATCCATCTCTATTGTCATTTATTAAATGACAGATATTTTCCTAATTGCCTTGTGTGAATTAGCTTATTTAATTTTTACTACAGGTTTATCAGGAAGGTGTAACTATCCTCATTTTACAGAGGAGGAGATAGGTACAGAGATGTTCAGTAGATTGCTCAGTGTCACACTTGAATCATAAACTCATGCATGAGTTATAAACTCAGGGCTGGCATTGTGACGTTCCAGGCTCCTGACTTCAGCCTTATCACCCAGACCGTTATAGTCATTTGGGAAGTTAGCTAATGGATGAAAAATCTCTCTCCCCCTCTCTCTGTATGTTTGTGTTTGTATGCATGTGTATGTTTCTGTAACTCTTAAATACATACATACATACATAAATCTTTTTAAAATGAACCATGCTTCTGAATCCAGATGTTATTTTTAATCATTATATGATTATACATAGTGTCCTTAGTTTTGTGCTTTCACTGCTAATTTGCATGAATAACTTTTTTTGATGTGGATAAGATAACCTTCATAAAAATTTCAGAGTTCCCCTTACAAAATGTATGGTGGCCTATGAGCTACAACTTGATAAGAAGAAATGCTATATGTAAGTAGAAAAACAGATTAGAAGCTGCGGTTGTTCTGTGCCTGTCCTTATGTTAGAATCTCATGCCTTTCAATGTGTGTAAACAACAAATGTGACTGATAAACATTAGGGTTGCTGTACTTACAACACCTGCTGTTGTTATCTTTTATGGAAATCTATTAACCAAAAGCACTTGATTTTCCTTTTTCAGAACAAGTGGATAAGCCGTAGCCCCATGCTACAGCGGAGGGTCTACCATTCCATGGCTGCTGTCCAAAGGAAGCTCTATGTTCTTGGAGGCAATGATCTGGACTACAATAATGACCGGATTCTTGTGCGCCATATAGATTCTTATAACATAGACACTGATCAGTGGACACGCTGTAATTTCAACCTGTTGACTGGCAAGTACCTTTGGTTAAGTAAACCAGACAAATCAGAGATTCAAGAGATTGCCAGACACATTTTCTTGTACACCTTTAATGCTTCTTTAAGTGTGCAGTGGTAGAACACTTTGTTTCTGTTAACCACAGAAGTGTGTCTTCTTTGTGTTATGAAACCAGACTCATTCAGGTGGCTTAGCATCTAGGTTCCCTGATGCCACTACCACCTCTAGGTTCTCTAATGGCTGTTAGCTTTGTGTATGTTTTTCCGTGACTAGGAGAGTCATGCCAAGTCCACTATCATTTTTATTTACATAAGAACTTTGAAACAAGTAAAGAGAACTAAGCGCTGAAGGAGTTATCACTTTTATAAAAGCAGTTTATTCACGGCTGGTCCCTGCATTTAGCCTTCTTTTATTTCTTGTGAATTCAGAGGCATCTTCATTATTTGTCATTGTCAGATATTATTTCTCACTGTTTTCTACAAACAAATCCATCAATTATTTTTGTGAGTTTAGTTGCCTCTCTGAACAAGCTCAAGTTGATCATAAGAAGTGATCCTAAAAGTGAAAGAAAGATAGCAGTAAGCAGCTTACCCATGATACTGCTTCACAGAATTGAAATTTCTTTTTTCTGTCCCTTGTCAGCTTGTGTTATTGACATTCCTTTCAGGGTTGCTCGGATAACTGGAAAGTCACAAACTCACAATGGTGGTTTGGATTAGTTCCTGAAGACATCATCGTATGCCAAATGGGCTCTCAGTTATTCACAGCTGCTGTAGGGAGTGCGAGAGTAGCAGCACAGGTTATGCAACTGGGGGCTTAGCTGCTTTGTGGTGTGCTTGGCTTTGACAAATGATTTTTGAGGCCCACCTCCATTAACTCTTAAGTTGTAGCCCTTGATCCCTGAATCTGTGATTCTTCCTGCTGGAAGAGTCAGCTTATTTATTACCCCAGTCAGTCCTGTGTCAGCCCATCAATAAACTGAGAATACTTCACTCTCTGATAGCCTCCAGGGAAGAATATGTGGTACTGAGATATTCTGCCTTCTTTTTGGATTGGGAAGACAAACCTTTCATCATTGTGGCGTGTCAGTATCTGGGGGATTTTCCAAGCTGGTCCCAGCTCAGGAACTTTAATACAATATTAAAACTTATGTGTATGTAAAGAAAGAGCAGTGTTATCCATTTTGCTACCATTTTTCTTTATTTTGATTATGGCTTTGTCTTATTGGCTACTTGGAGTTGCAGCTGTTATTTTAAAAATATATGCACTTTCCTTAATTGCATTTGTGGGTACAAGGGATATCTTTGTTTCTAAAATATATCATATTCCTCTAGTATAAATCAGTGGTATAGAAAATAGGACACAACTCTTAGTTCCATGTCACTTACCATTGCTGTGTTTTAATTTTATTATTACTAGCTTGGCTGGTTAGTAAGTACTTTGGCCTGGTTCTGATCTGACACAGACTTATTCTGAAACAACAGCTAGGTCTTCTTAGAACTGAGAGCTAGGATGTAGTTGCTACAAAAATCCGATGGAGTGTACAAACCAGCCACAGGAGGAAACTGTATTGCTCAGGGACAAAAGAATTAATGAAAACACATGAGAAATTGATTTGTTATTTCTTTTTATTCAATTAGGTCAGAATGAATCCGGAGTTGCTGTCCATAACGGGAGAATATATTTAGTTGGTGGATATTCAATTTGGACAAATGAGCCTCTGGCTTGTATCCAGGTGAGTGGTTGAAGTTGCTTTAAAGTTTGCTCCAGAGGGCCAGCAAAGTCATGTTTTACAGTGCTATTCATGAAGGAAGAGATATATACATACAGTGGCTCCTGATTTCATGTTGTGTATAGCTAGCTCAGCCACAGAACTTCATCCTGCATCCTAAAAATTAGTGACTGAGCATTCCTGGAAATAAAGCTGGGGAAGAAGCTTTGAAAATATATGGGATATATGTTGGAAATGTGGAAACTGGAATATCTGTCCCTTGATTTTAAACCAAAAACATCTAAAAAGCTTGGCAATAACCCATCCTCAGTCCCAGAAGCATTGTCAATGTCTCCTTTCTACGTCATTACCTTGTTTTCTGTGTCACAATATTTTTTCCTGCTTGCCACTGCAGAGGTGCTCTTCCTTCCTAACAGTGGCTGTGGGCATTTCTTTGAAACGTCTTCCTCTGCCCCAGAGAGTAGCTCTGGCACATGGATATGCAAGCAGCCCAGAATGAGCAATTTCCCAGTGTGGACTTTTATAACAGCAATAATTTTTGTTGATATGCATATTTAAGGCAGTATTCCTATTATTATTTTATAATTCTTACCATGATTTTTTTACGTGTTCTCTGATAAAATATTCACATCAGTCCTAACCTGTTACCCAGAAAAGTATATTCTTATAATTCACAGTCTTACCTCATTTTTGTAGGAAGATTTTTTACAACTGCTGCAATATTATAATAGTTGCAGAATCAAGCATTTTAGTTCTTGTAATCGAATCTCAAATGGTATATAAAAAAACTTTCCCACATTGTCTAAGTTTTAAAAATCACTGTTGTATAGTTGGGTTATTTTTAATTAAATCTGCCTTTATATTCATATTGTCTCTTGATTTGTTTTGCCAAAGGTTTGCCTGGAAACCTAAACATAGATGTATTATTCATACAGATCAGATAGAAGATCTGGCAAGAGTAGGGTTGATATGAGAATATAACATAATTAGCAAGCTTATTAGAATGGATATGAGGCTTGCCTTGAACCATTGGAAGAGGATGCATACATGGGACCTGTAAAAGAACCAAATGTATTCCACAGTTAGGGAAGGAAAACAATGCTAAATTTTAAAAATGAAGTGTTACAGATCTTTAACGCGATGCAATTAAGTTAGAACTTAACAAAAACCTAAATAAATTCCTATGCATGGGTACTCAGAAAAGTTTTTGGAAATGTGTATGAAAAACTATGCAGGGATTGCATGCCCTTTTTCATGAAATACCCTTACTTTTAATTAAACTTTTCCATGAGTATTTTGAAGTGCCCTTATCTATCTGTAAATAATAAAATGCATTGCTGCATAACTTACAATAAATTCAAAGAATAAAAATGAGAAAACTAATGCAGTAGAAATGGATAATACCTCAGAAAAAATACTAAACACACACAAAAAAGTAAGATTTTAAGGAAGTTAATGGAAAGCCACCTTGTTCTAGACAGTTTTTTTTGGATCACAACAAATGAGCAAATTGCTTCCTCTCGAAAAGCATTTCTTTCAGTCTTTATCCAACCATGTGTTTGGCAGTATTCTTAGTCTTTTAGTTTTTTTAATTGTTTACTTTTCAAATTTAGTAAAAAGAAAAAATTGAACTGGGTGGCAGGCAGTGCTCTAGAGTGCTGGAAATGTGTAAGTGGTGATGGTTGACTTTTCTTGACTGTGTGTGCAAGTCAGTGAAGTAAAGTTGCCAAACATGTGATTGTGTCCTGCTGAAAATGATCACAAGTGAAACCGCACATTTCTAAATATATTCATGTGATTTCACCCATTTTAATATCCAGTTGGTTCAAAAGTAGAAACAAGTCGAAATCCTAACATCATTAGAAAATACTCCATACAGACTAGAGATCTCTTTTTTATATCTCCTGTTTTAGAATAGTTATGTTAGCTTAGACACAGAAACGATTTTTTAAAATGCTGAAACTAGAAATCTTTACAGTCATATCCTTTGTTCTTTGCCCCCAATGAGTTTTTCTTAGACTGACCACTAAGCATATGCAGTAATTAGTTGCCAATGTCTGGTTGTTCCCAAACAAGGAACTATCTTTAAAAGATGAAGGGGAACAACTGGCTATCTTAACCCAGAAGATGTTTAAGAGTATTCTTAGAATTAAAGTAATTTCTTTTTAAAAAATTATTTATTTAAAAGAGTTATGCAGAGAGAGGGAAGATACACACATTGTGATCTTCCATCTGCTAGTTCACTTGCTGGGTGGTCACAATGATCAGGGCTGGGCCAGGTTGAATGCAAATGCCAGGCACTTCTTGATCTCTCACGGGGATGCTGGGGCCCAACCTCTTGCACCATCTTCCATTGTTTTTCAGGCTTATTAGCAGGAAGCTGGATAGGAAGTGGATCAGCCAGGGCTCAAACTGGTGCCCATACATGATGATGGTGTTTTAGGCAGTAGCTTACTTGTTACACCTCAGTGCTGGCCACCAAATTAAAGTGATTCCAAAAGGGATTCAGAAATGTGTAACCAATGCCTGTATCGGTGGAATATATTTTATCTGTGACAGTACACACTTTCCTTTTTAAAAAAAGTTCAACATTATGAGCACTTCTATATCCTTGTAGCCATTTTGATGAACAAAATCCTCTTTGCAAATGTCATGTTTTTCTTTTGGCTAGTATACTGGTCCTACAAAGCACAGCGAAATTCCATGTAAATTTTGTTTCTTTCAAAAATGTTTATTTGAAAGGTAGAGTTTCAAAGAAGGAGAGGCAGAAAGAAAAATCATCTATCTGCAGGTTCATTCCCCAAATGGCTGCACTGGCCAGAGTTTAGATGATCCAAAACCAGGAACCAGGAGGCAGGAGCTTCTTCCAGATCTTCCAAATAGGTTCAGGTGTCCAGTACTTAGTTCATCCTCTGCTGCTTTCACAAGTCATTAGCAGGGAGTTGAATCAGAAGTGGAACCGCCAAGACATGAACCAGGGCCCATATGAGATGCTTGTGCCATAGTTGGAGGCTTGGTGTATGACACCCTAACACCTGTCCTAGATTTTTAAAAGCCTTTACTAGTAATAGGTGATGTATTCATCTATATGAGCAAATAGTTTCTCACTTAAAGAAATGTTTGGGGGACTGGAGCTGTGGCATAGTGGGTAAAACCGCCACCTTGAGCACTAGCATCCCATATGTACAGTGAATCAAGATCCAACTGCTCTACTTCTGACTCAGCTCCCTGTCAATCTGCCTGGGAAAGCAGCAGATGATCCAAGTGATTATGCTCCTGCATCTGTATGGGAGACCTGGAAAAAGTCTTGCTTTCTGCTTTTGGACTGGCTCAGCTCTGGACGTTGTGGTCATCTGGGAGTGAACCAACAGAGGCAATATCTCTGTGTTTCCCTCTCTCTGTAGCGGCAACTTTGAAATAAATAAACTTTTTTAAGAAGAGATGTTTGGATTAGGTAGATAGTAGATAAGTAGTTAAGCAGATAACAGGCATCATGTATGTTTCATTTTATTCACAAATGATTAATAACTGTATTATCATTCTATTCTGAGTGCCGGCTCATATTTTATGAATGACTACAGATATATTTATTTGGTGCATTAACAGTAAACATCTTGCAAAATGTTCAAAACCAGATCTCTACTTTGCTGGAAAAAATATTTGATAGACAATCAAGATAATGGGAGAATGGAGTGACATTTGTTAGGGAGTGTTGGTTAGGCAATATAAATTGCCAAGTATGTCATTAGATTGATCATTACCAAGGAGGAGCTGGCATTTTGGCACATTAAGTTAAGCTGTATTTCTGGCATCCATATGAGCATTGGTTTGAGTCTTGGCTGTTGTACTTTAATCCCACTCCCTTCAGAGTCTTATGTAACTCAAGGCTCCTTGCTTCAGCCTGTTCCAGTACTTTTTGTGGCTAATTGGGGAATGAGCCAGAGGATGCAAGACTCTCTGTAACTCTGTCTTTTAAATAAGTAAGTCTTAGTACACAAGAGTGGTGGAGGAAATTGTGTAATACTAAAAATACCTAAGTTTAAATATTTATGTCATAAGATGAAAATATGTAATCTTTAAAATTAAGGTAAGGATCATTAATCCAAAATCAGCTGATTATTGAAAGTCACACTTAAATATTTGATTGTTACAGAAATATCTAGAAGACTAACATCATTTTTTGACTTAAAAAAAATACCGGCCAATAGTCTGTCATTCAGTTATACCCTCTGGACCCAGATCCAGGCTCGTTTTTCATTTGAGATGGAGCTCATTCGCTGTGTTGAAAGCATTATTTTATTTCCTGCTTCTGTAAAGCAGACTATTTGATCTATCACAAGGAAAACCCAGCCAAAACAATAGTGAAGATGCTCTTGAATTAATACTTGCTAAAAAAAATTGACATTTGCACTTGTTAGTAATAGACTGAGAATTTCTAGCCAAAAAAAATGAAGGTCCTCTTGTTTGTACAGTGGGTATGCAAGCAAATGTCTGGCACAGAAATTTGACTCTAATCTGGTGTGCTGTGGATGACAAGTAGCATATAAGGGAGCAGCTGCATAAGTGTGCAAGTGATTAGTCTGTGTTTCCAGATCACCTCTAGTGTTCTCTTCATTTACTATTATTTCCTTTTGGCTGGAGGATATGCTGCCAAGCTGGCACCAGCTTCTCCCAAATGCCTTCTTTCTGCCAGTTTACAGGGGAGTGTCTGGGAGAAAAAACTGCCAATGCTTCCTTTTCTCTTCTCAGATTAAATACATTACATCTGCTTAACATATGCAGTCTCTGTTGGCCCAAGGAACCAGACAAAAGCTCTTTGGAGGATTACCTCATTGGTATTTTGCTTCTTAAAAATGACACAGCTGAGGGGATGGCTATCATGATTGCACAAATTCATTGCTGTTTCTTGGCTGCATCCTGAAGCTCAAATACTGGTTCTGCACTTACTAGACATATTTCCTAGAGCAGGCCACTTCATTTTTTCTGCATCCGTTTCTTGTCAACTGAAGACAGTATGTAGCCTTAAATACTTGCAATAAATTTTTAATTATCTGGAATTTGCTCTGATGGAATATTACTCAAAAATCCCATTCAGAATTCCCTTGTTCTCATGGGGGTAGGATGATATTTGTCAAACTTTCCTTAAAGTTCCTTTAGGGCCATTAAATATATATATAAATAAATATTTGAAGATGAGTAAGATTCTCAGGATGATGTCTCAGTGGCTAAATCTTAGCCTTGAATATGCTGGGCTACTCCACTTCCCATCCAGCTCACTGCTTGTGGCCTGTGAAAACAACAGAGAATGGCCCAAAGCCTTGGGATCCTGCACGCTACATCAGGACCTGGAAGGGGCTCCTGGCTCCTCATTAGCTCAGCTCTGGCCCTTGTGGCCAATTGCGGAGTGAACCAGCAGACACAAGATCTTTCTCTCTGTATTTCTTTTTCTCTGTAAATCTGCCTTTCCAATAAAAAACAAATCTTTAAAAAAATTTTTAATTAAAAAATAGAGATTTACATTGCTTGTAAAAATGATACTGCTAATGGATATATAAATTAATGAAAGGGAACAGAGAAACTATTCACATGTAATGTGTAAGTGCATTGTAAATCAGCAGCGACAGAGTATGTTGTTCAGTAAATGGTTGTGACAACTAAATGTCCTTTTGGAAAAAAAAATAGAAGCTTTATCTCTTTTATTTCAAGACTTAATAATTTTCTCATTTAGTAACCTGGATCTTCAAATTTCAAGGATTCCTTTCATTTATAATTTAAAACTCAGGCGTCAGTCACAGAGGTGCTTGACAAAGGCAGGAGAGGGAACAAATTAAAGGACACCAAGAGGTCTGTGGTAGGACTACTGGGGATGCCTATTTGTAGAATACAGCCAAAAGGAAGGGGACCAAAGGTGGACAGCAGGAGAGCAATGCTGACAGCTTTTAGTTTATTTACAATGAAATCATGGATTCAAGAAAGTAAAGGTTTAACTGAGGCTGGAGGAAAGCTGAATACAGAGCTGAGGACTAAAAAGAACCCAATGGCTTTGACGAAAGTGACGAGAACGCCTTTCATGAAGATTTTCTAGTAATAAGAGCAAGCCAGATTCATTCAGCTGACAGCAGGCACAGACTAACAATGAAGCTGTGCCATAAAAGAGGAGATGAACTCCAGCTTGAAGGGGAAGTAAACTGGGAGACAATTTCCAGAACCAACTCAACTAATTTTGAACTTGTTGCTAAGCCATATTGCATGTGCCAGACACTACGATATGTCACCAATTTCACAACAGAGATATAAGTTCCTGTTTTCATTTTATAGATGAAGATTTGTGAGTCAATATTATGATACTAGTATCAGCTAGTCTGGGCACATTATTTAAGCAGACTGCTTTATTAGAAGAGGATAATGCTGCCTACCTTGTCACTGATTCTGAGGAACAATTGTAAATGTATGTGATACATAGTACCAAGTGTACAATTAGTAGAATTCAGTATTTCTCATGCCATTCTAGCACGGGAAAGCCCAAGATTTGGTGGTGATGGCATATGTGAACTTAAATCAGGCTCCTTTTCATGTATATGCAGCTTTGAGCAATGATTTTTGACATATAAGCTTCTTCTCTTCTTTTGTAGGTATTGGATGTAAGTAGAGAAGGCAAAGAAGAAGTATTCTATGGACCTACACTACCCTTTGCTTCTAATGGAATAGCAGCATGCTTCCTTCCAGCTCCGTATTTCACATGCCCTAACCTTCAAACTCTTCAAGTGCCTCATCACAGGATTGGCACCATTTGAAAAGCAAATGCACAGTTAATAACCATATGAACAAAACTTGAGGAATAACAAAGGCTTGACTTTTGGATACTGGGCATGAAAAGACTCAAGTGTTCAATGCTTCCTTGTCTTGTTTCATAGTCTTGTATTTAGATAAATATTAGCAAAAAATTAAATTTTCTAAAATACATTATAGAAAATTCCTGTCATCCTACTCAATGTATGTCAGCATACAATATGTATGACTTTCATTGTCATATAGTTTAATGCCAATTTAACAGTACATTGTTGTTCCATGAGTCTTTAAAGCATTCTTTGTACACTTTTTCTAATCAGTGCTGTCTAGGACATGACACTTGCCAGTAAGACAATTTATTTTACACAGTGACATTAATGATTTTAAATAGGAAACTTATATCCTTAGTTTCTTCACTACTTAAATCTGGACTTATAATTTTTTCTTTTTAAAATCTAACATTATGCAGCCTGCTCAGTAGACTCAGCATTATGACACCATAAATTTTTAAGTGCCATATTTTATTCAAGGTGTTACAAATAATAGAAATACAATGTAATAGTAGTTGGAACATTCAGATTTTTCACCTGGATTATTGTGACCTATGGTCAGATCCTTACATCAGTACTTCTATTTTCCCAACTTTTATGGAGAGTAATTACTGATTTCCATATCAATTCATATGAGAATTAGGCAGCTACTTTTTAAGTTCTTCACCTAAGAAAAAGTCAAATGATAAGGCAGCTTACTGTCTTAGCAACTTTGCAAATGATGTAGATTATTTTTAAAGTTTCAACATTACTAGATAGAACCTGGGAAACAAGCTGTGGGATTCTGAAAAAGCATCGGAGACACACTAATTAGGAAAAAGGGAGTTTATCAACAGCAAAGATGCCTAAACCTGCACAAACCCTTGACTCAAAAAACAACTATCTGAAATGTCTCAGCTAAAATAAGTCAATGAAAAGAACCTTTTATCACATAAAAAAAATTAGTTGTACTAATTATGGTACCATAAAAGTGCTTTGACATAAGTTTGAACCTAGAATTGGCAGTTCTAATAAAAGTTCTTCCGCATTTTTAAAGGTTATGTCAATCTTCAGTGCTTGTGGGAATATTCACCACCATCAATACATATTTTATACGGCACTTTTAATAATGCATAAGAGTTTCTTTTTTAGTCAAGATTTTTGGGTTGTTTTGTCTAGAACAAAAAAATTGAACAAGTTCATTATCATACTTGAACATATATTCAACAAGTGTTTTCTTTTTTGATAATCTTTAATTTTAATTAAAAGAATTGGCAGTTAAGAGATTCAGCAATCTTTCTCTAACAAGAAATTTTCATTTTATACATGTAGTCTGTTTAGTAAGCCTGTGGGTGAGAAATCTATCCTTTTACCATAAATTATAGAATTCACAAACTTCACACATTGTTGTAAGAAACTGAATGCTTTATTTTAAAAAACTATATGGATTCAGGCCACTCATATTAAAGGGAAAAAGGAAAGACTGGAGATCAAGCAGAAAAGCTAAAATTTAAAAATAGGGACAGCCTTGTGGTACAGCAATATGTAGTAAAGCTGACATTTGTGATGTCCACAGTCCATTCTGGAGTGTTAAGTGTGCAATCTGTTGACTCCACTTCCATTACAGCTTCATTGCTAATGTACAACCTGGGAGGCATAAGATAATAGCTCAAGTAATTGGAACCTTGACAGTATAGGTTTCTGACTTTGACCTGGCCCAGCCCTGGCTGTTGCAAGCATGTGGGGGATAAACCAGCAGATGGAAGAACTGCTTTTCTATTGTAAATAAAATGAAATAAAAAGTTAGCAAGAACACAAGTTTATAAAGATAAATGAGTATTTGGACAGGTCTGAATAGTGAAATTTGAACTTACATTTAAAAGTTTCTTTGAATGACATAAGCCACCTAAATTTAAAAAATGCCTTACAAAGTCAGGAAGAGGCATTAAAGCACTTTAGATTTTTAGAAAAGATTTATTTATTTTCATTTGAAAGGCAAATTGTTTACCGAGAGAAAAGGAGAGACAGAGAAGGTGTTCCATCTGCAGATTCATTCCCCAAATGGCTACAATGGCCAGAGTTGAGCTGCTCTGAACAGGAACCATGTGCTTCCTCCAGCTCTCCTGTGTGGGTTTAGGGTACCAAGGACTTGGGTCATCTTTCAGTTCTTCCCTAGGACATAGACAACTGGATAAATGGCGCAGTCAGGAGAGCTGGTGTCCATATGGGATGCTGGTGCCCCAGGTTACAGGGTTTGCCTGCTGTGCTACTGTGCTGGCCCAGCAAGCAATATTTTAAACTTATTAAACTTACTACTTGGTATACTGTTTTCTGCTACAGCAATTTTACCTTCTAATACCACTGAAATCTGTTTATATTCGTAGAGACTACATTTAATGAACAAAAAGGAAATAGTCTACAATAAACTTACCTGACTTGAAATTGGAAAGGCAGTTTAAGGCCATAGTTGATTAATTCTATGTAGATTTCTAACTTTTCACTTAAAATAGAATATATTATAAAACCTCTCTTCCATGACCTTTAGTATTCACTAGTATCACAGAACTGAATCCAGGACTATAAATTCTGAGTAGAATTCATACATTCTGTACAGCTACAGCTAAATAGCAGCATCAAAAATATGCTTTTTTCATGAAAATTTAAAAACTCAGGTCATTTAAAATTAGATCCTTTTTCTCAAAATTATAAATAAGAAAAAAATCCTGTGAAACTATGGCCATATAAGCTTACTTCTACTGAAACTACTCAAATATACATATTTTATTTCAGTGAACAATCTATAATAAATTTTTAACATTTACTTACTTCATTTTACTTGAAAGGCAGAAACATACAAACAGGGAACTTTAACCCAGTGATCTGGCTCCCCATATGCCTGCAACAGCCAGGGGTGCGTCAGGCTAACACAGGGACTCCTAGAATTCAATGCAGGTCCCCTGTCTGGTTGGGAGGGACCCCCATTCTATTGACACCAACTGCTGCCTGCCAGGATGCACGTTAGCAGGAGGGTAAATCAGAAGAGGAACTGCTGGGACTCCAACCAGGTGCTCTGATATAGGATGCAGGCCTGTCGTATTCTTTAATGATTTATATCCCACTTTTATTCAAAGGTAAAGGCCACATTTAAATTTGTATGGGAGAAAGCAGTTGATGGAATAGTTAGGCCCCTGCCACCCATAGCAGAGAACTGGACTGAGTTCCTTTATCCTGCCTTCAGCCTACCCAGTCCCAGCCCCAGGGATGGTGGGTATTTGGGGAGTAAACCAACAGAGAGGAAAGCTCTGTGTTTCAAATAAAAGAAACAATTAAAATGCCTGTGTTAATAACAAAATCACCAGTTAGGTTATGTTTAGGATACTGCTCATATTTTCTGTTTTCCTTACACCTCAACTTTTCCCCTTCAGGAAGTGCAATAGCAGGAAACCTAAATTGGAATTATTTTGTTGGAAATATAGAAGCAACAGAAATAAGGCAGAAAGTATTCCTTCAGGTAACATGGGTTATTATTTTGCTTTTCAAATCGTAAATGTTTTTAAAAATGAATCTTACTAATAATGAGCACAATGTCAAACCTGTTTTTTATTATATATACCTTTTATTTATCATAAGTTAATAACAAAATCATGAGACATACCTATAAATTGAGAATGTCCAGATTTAAAAAAAACTATGAATCACAGATAAATTGGGTGATTATCAAAACAAAAAAGCAGAAACCCCAATCACAGGTACTGACTTTGCTTACATTACTACTCAGATTATCACAAGCCAGAATATAAACCTCAAATCCTAACAAAGAATGAAAGAATATACTACAGTGCTAGCTGCCCAAACCAAATATTTTAATCTAACAAAGCACATCATTTATACTGGTATATTATACTTTTGCCTGACTACGCACTATTTTTAACTGTGAGATGGGTAATCATGACATCAGTTTTTGGAAAATTTAAGGTTTATGTGAAAAGTCTATCAGTTAAAAAGCAATGGTGTGGAAACTTTGGGTGAAGCTTTTAATGAGATCCTGATCTTTGAAACCTGAGAACTAGGAAATGCAGGATTGAAGCAAAGCATATTTCCTCAAGACCCTCCCCAGTGGCAGAAGCCTGTCCAAGTTTATGAGTCCACATAATTCTTTATGAACAAAGTAACTTTTAAAATGTGTGATGAAGCATGACAAGATGAGAATGACTAGTGAAAACCTAAGGTTCCTATCATTATTTTCTCAAATAAATGCTGAGACAAAAAGGCTAGCAGGCTGAATTAGAACATACAAAAAAGTAGGGAAAAAATTAAAGTATTAAGTATGAGAGTTTTCTAACGCAAATGAACTCAATACTGAAATGATTTTTTTTACAGACAATCCTCCTTTGTTTCCTCCACTGTGGACACCTTCAAATCAAATGTTAAATTGAAACTTATAACCAAATCTGAATGTCTAATAAAGTTCTTTCATCACTTTGTTGCCCTTTAATAATCTTTTATACTCCATTTGATGTTTTATAGATATTATTTGAGAGGAATATGTAGCCTGAACCTAAAGTGTATATTTCAATTTTCTTTCTATTTAACTGTCTCTCAAATTTCCATAGAGGGTGGTATTCCTAACAGGCAAATGGAATGAGGCAGAGCAGAGAATGAGCAGGGCTTTCAGAGACAGCTGCTCAAAAAGCTCTTATTGGGAATCATGTGAGACTGAAATGAAAAGGTGGTTGGATGGCAGGAGGTCTTGACACACAGTTTAAATATGAACCTGTGAACAACGAGAAGTTAATGGAAGTACTTCAACAGAAAAGTTAGCAAGAAGAGGTATTTTGGGAATACTAGTTTCAGAACTGTGTGTAAAATAAAACCACAAGAAAGGAGATTAGAGGAATACAACTGCAGTGACTAACAGAAAAAAAGTTTAGATATGAAGGCAGGCAAAAATGGAAAAAACAAAAACCTGCCTAAGAGCCTGTACTGATAATCATCTGAGTGTGGGGAAGCATGAGGACTCTA